GTTGTGCTCCTCGGCCCTCGGCTTTACGCCTCCCGAGATCACACCTGCGCGGTCACCCCGCCTGCGTTGTGCTCCTCGGCCCTCGACTTTACGCCTCCCGAGATCACACCTGCGCGGTCACCCCGCCTGTTGTGCTCCTCGGCCCTCGGCTTTACGCCTCCCGAGATCACTTCTGCGCGGACACCCCGCCTGCGTCGTGTTCCTCGGCCCTCAGCTCCGCGCCACCCCAGGATCACACCCGCGCGATCACCCCGCCCGCGTTGTGCTCCTCGGTCCTCATCGGTTCCTTTGCCCCCGAGTCCAATCCTACTCGGCCTCCCGACTAAATCGCGCGCCTCGGCCTTATACTGCTCGAGATGCGTTCGCGCGACCGGTCCGTCTGCATCGTGCCCCTCAGACCCACCTGAACAGCCCGCTTGAAACAGGAAGCCACACATCGGACTCCCCACATGCAAAGCCGACACATGGCTCCTTTCGGGTGGGGCATATGATAGGGGTAAAAAACTGATTTGACATAACACCCCGGATTTGACGTAATACACCCCCACGTCGGACACCCTGTGCGGCACACTGCCCCAGAACGAGCATTAACAACGACACGACACGCACCCACACCCACCGTACCCGAACAACCTCCTCGGCTGACCCCTCGTGGCCGGCCGAGGCAGGCGAAGGCGCTGACTGGCACCCCCCATACCCTGTGGCAGCTCGGCCTTCCACGCGACGTCCACGACGACGACAGACGCCGTCAGAGGTACGACCCTGCCCCGGCAGGATGGCACATCAGGTAACATCAAACCCACTTATAAATACCCCCTGGCTCCCAACGGGCAAGGGGGGGGATCTCACTCCAAAACTCCTCTCCGCCATCACTGACTTGATCGTCGGAGGGGTCGGGCCGAGCATCCGACCCGGCCTGTGTGCAAGTACTCGACCGCCGTTGAATCCACTTGGCGTTGCAGAACTTTCCAGCCATATCCCCTGCATCAGCCACCGCAACATCCCAAGGGGAGCCACGTCTGATCCCAGCCATTTGGAGCCCGGAACCAGCCGCGTCGACCCCGAGGTCACGGCTAAAAAAGTTACTTACCGTAACACTCTTCACTTTTGTTGTACATCAATATGTCATTAAAGTAAACCACAATAAAAGAAACAATGCATGACTTAAGTATATGATTCATAAATCTCATGAAAGTACTAGGAGCATTAGATAACTCAAATGACATAATTAACCATTCATACAAGTCATCCCTAGTTTCAAATGTTGTTTTTCACTCATCTCCAGGCCTCATTCTAATTTGGTGATAACCACTCCTCAAATCAATTTTAGAGAAAATAGAAATACCACATAATTGATAAAGTAAATCATCTAACCTTAGAATGGAAAAACGATAATCAATTGTGATTTTGTTGATAGCGCGGTTATCCACATACTCTTCAAGAACCATCCTTCTTAGGCACCAACAAGGCTAGAATTGCACAAGAACTCATGCTATCCCTAATTAGCCCTTTTCCACCAACTCATTCACTTACCTTTGAAGTTCTTCATGCTCCTTGAAACTCATTCTGTAGGCTACCTTATTCGGTAGAATAGCCCCCGGAATAATATCAATGTGATGTTGGATGTCTCTCAAGGTGGAAGGTCATGTGGCATCTCTTTCGACATAGCATCTTGAAACTCCTCCAGGATTGATTTCATGATTGCTGGTGCCTCCTTGTGTTATTCATTCTCCTCTACTACTATTAAAGTCAAAACATCACCACCCCTTTTTAGTACTCCCTTGCATTCATCATATGTCATAAGAGCACTAACTTCCTTCTTTGGTAGACTAGTTTCAGAATGTTATTATGGAGCTAGAATAATCTTCTTTTCATGCACCTTAAACGAATAAGTATGTCATACGTCATAAGAGCACTAACTTCCTACTTTAGTGGACTAGTTTCAGAAGGTTGTAATGGAGCTAAAATAATCTTCTTTTCATATACTTTAAAAGAATAAGTATGTTGTAGCCATTATACAATACCCTCCTATCATAATGTCAAGGTCTACCCAACAAGCATCTATAGGAGTAACATCACACCATACTTCATCTTTATAATGCTTGCCAATAGAAAACAAAATTAAACATCTTTTAGTTATCCTGATGTCATTCCCCTTTTGTAGCCAATATAATTGGTAAAGATGTGGATGAGGGATTGTGTCCAACTTTAGCTTCTGCACCATCTCTAAAGATATCACATTTTCAAAGTTACCACTATCAATAATCACCAAGCACACCTTGCCATGAGAAGTGTATTTAGTGTGAAATACGTTCTTCCTTATCGTCATTATATTTTGGTTCGTAGTTGGCATCATCTCCTCCATCACTATGATCTTCAACCAAAATAGTAATTATCCTATTTAGACAATCTGAAATAATATGCCCAAAACCATGAGATTTAAAGTATTTTTAACCACTTGGGATAGAAGAATTAGGTGTTTATTTGCTGCTAGCAGATCCTCCACCCTTATCTTGCACCTTTAACATCACCTTGCTTTAGAGAGCAGGCTTAGAATTTCCTCCTCTCGTATAACCTTCTTTTGACTCGTATCGAGAACTCTTTTCAAATTTCTGTTGCTTCTCAACTTTCAAAGTCAACTTGCTCACATCATTCAAAGACCAATATGGCTAGAGTTAAACCACTTTATCAATCTCATATTTTAGACCTCCTAAGTATCTTACAATGGTTTGCTCCTTTGGTTCCACAAACTCTCCTTTTAATATGAGATTATCAAACTCCGCTATGTACTCCTCCACACTAAGATCTTTTTTCTTGAAATCATGGATTTTAAGAAAGTTCTCTCGCCTACAGTTGTCAGGCAAGTATTTCCTCTTCAACTCTCTTTTTATTTTCTCTCATATCATGATCTTACTCCTTCTCTCACGTTCGCTTTACTTCTTTAGGTTTTCCCATTAAAAAGATGCATTCCTTTTAAGTTTAAGTGACATAAGCTTTACCTTCTTTTGTTCTAGCGGTTCATGAAACTCGAACATTCTTTCCATCGTATTAAGCCAATCAATAAAGTCATCAACATTGATTTTAACTTCAAACTCTGGAATATCCAGCTTTGAGTTATATTTGTTTTGCCACTCGTCTTGGTCTCTATACCTTGCTCAATATCTTCCTAACTCCCTTGAGTAAAGAGGTGTATCATCATCAGAAAGAAACTCTTAGGCATCATTTTCATGCTGGTTGTTTTTTCTCTAAAGTTCTTCAATGATTTCGTTCTTTTCTTATAGACTATGTAGCAATCTTTATAGCTACAACCTCAAGGACTCAACATCATCTTCACGGCCACTACCTTCATCAACTATACCTTTTCCATTCCGCCTTACCATGTTCTCTAGCCTTTAGCTCTGATACCAAACTGATATCGGGATAATGAGGAATGAAAATTGAAAGGTTGATAGTTGTCTTTGCTGGAATAAGTCTTTTGGATTGAAAAGAAACAACTCAAGATAATACTTCCATAAAATCGATAAATAACTCACCATCAAGTTTAAAATCATCAAAGGATATAGAAAATTTACTACCCAAAAGATATTAAACAAGAATACAGAACCGAAGATAAATGACTCAACACTCAAAGAAATATCCAAGAGATACAGAGACAAAACTCACCACTTTTTAGTAAACCAAAAAGATACAAAGCTAAAAGAGAACTCAAAAAATTTATGCAAATACAATCAGATTCTAAAACCCTTTCTAACTCTAAAACACAAAAAAAAAAAATACTAGTGTATAAAACAACCCTTCCGAACTATAAAATTTATTGCTTTTCAGCTAATAGCTAAACCTTTTAATACATTTCTTAGTCATCAAGAAAAGTTGAATTATCTCTCTTTGAATCTACCCACTAGCTGAAAAAGTAAGAGTTTGAACTTTCATATAAAGGCATGCTCTTTTAACTCTTGAAAAAGTAAGAGTTTGAACTTTCATATAAAGGCATGCTCTTTAACTCTTTTAGTAATCAATTTGAGCTATTTAATTAAGTTGGGTCATCTACATATTTAGAAAATAGGCTTGCAACTCATTTGACTTATGAGCTGTCCCATTTGAGAGGTATGGATTAAAGGCTATGAGACATACATTTTGGACTGTAGAGAATACCATAATTTACATGTCAAGCAAGACTACTCTGGATTAAAGGCTATCAAAATTTATATGAGCTGATTATAGAAAATTATGCACTTCCGTGTCAAGGAGGACTATTCTGGAGGATAGTGTTGGCTGCATAGATAAGAAGCATCAACATTGACACTAAAAATTTGCTTATCTTCTAGCAACAATGACTAGTGCATCCAACCAGTGGAACCATTGTACAATATGAGAATCTCAATGAACTGCAATGACATACATAATTAAGTTTATAATGTAACATGAGGAATTGCTGCTGTTGCAATTGCATAGAAAGAGGAAAAAACATGTTTTTTTTTTTTTGACAAAACAACATGATTAGGAAATGGCTGCTCTGCATGTCAAACATGAATCGCTGTTGTTAATCGGATCATCCAGCTGCTGTAGCTTTTGCAGCTTGACAAAATGAAACTTCTGGCAATCCCAATCCACATTCCAAGTTCTGCCAAATTATTTTTTTTCTAGTATTGTTGAAATAGCATTTTGTCTATCATGTTTAACAGAAACCCTGAAACGGATCAAAAGTAGAGTCATAGAGTTATTTAATTGTCTGATGTTACTATAGAATATGACATACAATTTTCTCTTGCTTGCTCAAATATACCTCAAAGGTTCAAACTAAAGGTAAAACCTTCTGCATCATGCGGAAAGTAAAGAAGAATTTTACTAGCAACATTAACCTATTCAAACTATGGTGATGAATTATTTTGCAGACAACTTCATATGCAATTTACAAGAATTATGGAATACAAGATGTAAAGGTATACGCATTCCATTTTGGAGACAACTTCATATGCAATTTAGAAGAAAAATGGAATACAATATGTATAGATAGACACACCTCATTATGATTTTTGCCTTTATTGTCATAATGGAACTCATTTATCCAAGCCTTCAAATTGGGATGTTACCTAGTAAGATTGCTTGAAGTAACATTCTTCCATATGAAATTGGCATATTCTGGATGATCAATAAATGGATTCCTGTTGTGCTGGTATAACTTGCATATTCTGTCATTTCTCAACTGCTCCATTCTTGAAGGTGGATCAAATTTGTTCCACTGTAGTAATGTTGAAAGGAGGCCCATCTCATGTTTTTCTGACATAAAAATAAAAAAGATATAAGCAAATTACTTTCATGATCCTCTCTTTGTGACAAGAAGTCTGAAACCATCAAGGTATATAGCGGTACAAGTAGGATATTTTCAATTACTGTTCATACAGGAATTGCATATAAACTGCACAATGACACATACAAACACATACACATCGAGTGGTTGGGGAGAGAGGTGGAATTCAGTCTTTGGTCTCTCAACCAGACAACCTTTAATCCAAACTTGGTAGCATTGCATTTTACAAAATTCCACATCAGAAATTTGGTCTTACTCACTTCTCCATACAACCTTGGATCCAATCTTACAATTGCATGCTACAACATTCGGCCTCAGAAATTTGGCACTTACGATGACACACCGATAAGCCACACATCAGAAGTGGTAAGATTATGATGGCATTTACCATGTGATCCTGATTAATGACTTGGACTTGGAATCTCGGGCCATGTGATATAGGTTAGTTATATCCAAGCTATTGATCTACTGAGCCAAATCATGACACTTACAAATTCATTATTTCTGATTGATTAGCATAATTGCTTAAGTAGCCTACCAAAAGAATGAAGGCAGGATTCATATATTGCAGAACTTAACCACTATTTAAATGACCCATTATGAATTTCTCGTTCTGTATTGAATTTCCTCACTGAAGAATTGCCTGGGTCAAATACCTTGACAACACCTCCGCAAGGATATAAATCTAGAACCTCTCAAGATGAAGAGAGGAACCAATGACCAGGCCATGGTTCTGTTGATTGACCATAATTGTTTATAAAAAGAGACTCCAAGTGTCATAGAAACCATTCTTTCATTTAAATGGAACTTCTCCCCATTAACAAGACCAGTTCAGAAGCTTCTGAATACATTGGTATAATGAATAACTTTATAATGGTCTCATTCAAACTGCAGCAAATTGTCATGAGTCCAAATTTATAAAAGTCGCCATCTCAAAAGTAATTACAAAACCCTAAAGAAAGCTCAACAACTTTTCATGGCGCTAGTTGGATTTTAAAAATATAGGCTTTGGGCTACAGTTGTTAAATGGGATAAACACAAAAAAAACAATGGGATAAACACAAAAATGCAAAGGTATCAAAGATCCTTAAGCCAGAATGTCTAAATTGTTCTGAAAAAATTGTGTATAACCAGCCTGGAAGTTTCAGTAAACAGTAAAGAAAAATCAGTTATGAACTTGCTAAGTAGACATTCAACCCTGAAGTACTAAGCTCATGCTCATCGTATGAATTCCAAAAAATTGCTTAACCATCTTCATTATTCACCTATATAGGATCTTCAAAATACTAGCTGTTGATTGACCTAAAACAATACATCATCATCAACAAAAACAATAACAACACCAAGTCATGAAGTCCCAACTATTTGGGGTCGGCCACATATATCTTTGCTAACATTGAGCCCTGTAAATAGCATATCCTTTGTTAAAATAAAAGTATTTAAATCCTTATCATAGTAGAGTTTTTTTAGTCTTCCTTAACTTCTCATACCACTAATACTAATTATCTCCCCTCTTCTAACTACAATGTCTATATGTTTCTTCAGTACATCTTCACACCATCATAAGAATTCTCTTTCATCTACATTCATCTAAACTTTGAAATTTTATAAATTCCACACTTGTCTCTTGGAAATATTTTACAACTCTAGTGAATTGGACAGATAACTTGACCATTTACAGTTAATCTGTGTAAAATTCTTAAACATGGTGAACTACAATTTGACTAAATCCATAAGAGACAACTTGACTTACCAATATTTGGTGAATCAGAAAGTAGTAGAGGCAGCCTCCCATCAGGCTGTTGAAATCCATAAGAGACAGCCATATACATCAGTGATCTTGCTATATCTCCCCTAACCTATTTTTCAGAAAAATAAAATCACTAGCAATGAGAAAACAAAGCCTTAGTAATTCAATAGAAGACTGAAAACCAAAAATTGCTGATTACAATGACTTGCAAAAAGCTCAAAATATATAGGCCAAGGAGAAGACCAGCTATAACAGGAACAAAACAAATATGAAAAATTTGATGATGCTTATGATAATCAAGGTTCATAATTTTGTATCGTACCGATATATCGAGCAAAGGAACAAAACAAATATGAATAATTTGATGATGCTTATGATAATCAAGGTTCGTAATTTCGTATCGTACCGACATATCGAGCTTTGCTCGATATGGTACAATATGGGCATACCGCTCGATACGTATATATATAATATAAAAATTAAGATATAAAAATATATAAATATATAAAAATATATAAAAAATAAAAAAAGGAGGCGTATGCTGCCTCGGTGATGTCGCCTCCTTTTCTTCTCCTCGTCGTGTCAGACGAGGAGAAGAACGTAGTCTTCTCATTTGCGGTGTTTGACGAAGACATCGAAGGCCGCAGATGTCTCCAGCCTTCAGCGAAGAACGCGACAAAGAAGAAACCAAGTAGTTGCCTCTTCGTTATCTCCTAGATCGGGACCGTCGAGGAAGGGTGGCGCTGGATCGGAAAGTGTCGAGGTTCTCCCGATTCTCCCTCTTCTCCTTCTTCTTCGAGCGCCTTCTCTCTCTTCTCCCTCGATGCTTCTTCTTCCCTCGCCGCAACTAGACGGATACCGCCCAGTAGCGGGCAACAACGATCGAAATCGACCGTTACTGACCTATTTCAGGCAGTAATGATAGAAATATCAACCGTTACTGCCCAATACAGGCCCGTATAGTTCGACGCGGGGCTAGATCAACAGTACCGCCCATAGCGAGCGGTATTATTCGGTATGATAATACGAACATTTTCAGACCACATCTATATAAGCAATTTAAAACAGCAAAAACAAGGGTTCTTTTATGTGTATACATCTTTCTTAAATAATTGCTGGCCCAAAACAACCAAAATGTTATAAGGTATACAAACACATCCTTCTTGATTACATAAACATTATGCAATCAAAAGGTTTTAAAGCATCTGCACTTGCCCTTGGCTTCAATTTGAGCAGCTAGTTATTTTAATGTGCTTCTTTCAATAAATATAAACAGACAGCAACCAGATGAACTCTCTTGTATGCAGCCAGCTCAGTATCATTTAACAAAAAAGGAATAAGGTGCTCTTAATCTTGGGCCAAATTATAGGCCAAGCTCCTACCAATTTATGAACCTTTCAGATACATCAACTAATGTCAAAACCCATTAACACTAATTTAACTTGGAAAGATGTGTATGCATTATCCTATGTAAGCTTCTGCCTATGTGTATGCATTATCCTTATTAATCCTATGTAAGATTAAGAAAAACCTTTCAGATACATCAACTAATGTCAAAACCCATTAACACTAATTTAACTTGGAAAGATGTGTATGCATTATCCTTATTAATCCTATGTAAGATTAAGAAAAACCAATTAGATTCAGATATATTCCAAAATAACAAAGTATGTTTTAAAAATTAAATATTATTAAGTCATGTTTTTACCTAGATTTCCAAAACTAAATTAATGCTACATTCAGCATAGGTTAATAAGGGGATACGACAACTCCACAATATTTGTCATTGTTTTCACAAATTAAAAAAATAGCAACTTCCCAATGCAAGGACCATAATAGAAGGCAGGTAAGAAAGCCTAACACATCTCAAGGACATAACATGAACCTGTCTAGGTGGTGCCCATCTTTTCTTATCTGTCTCAGTGTCAGGAGCAGCTTCATTATTTGCTGGTCTTGAACAGTGAGTTGATACAGAAACACATTCACCGTAGTACTTGTTTCCCCTAGATGAGTTCACTGCAAAAGAATATCTTATATTAATCGGAATCGACAATAATCGGGGACCACAATATTGCTAATGAGAGAAAATCTTTGTAGGTGAAACTAAGAAGTTTCTAACATCATTAAATAGCTTTCCATCATTATGCTGGTCAAGGTTAAATCACAGACTGATAAGTTCTCCATATTAGATAATTTTCTCCCTTTTCGGGGACAGGATGTAATTAATTATGCTTCCTAAAATAAAAGAAATCAGCGCAACTGCTGTTAGGGACACGGCAAGCATGGATTGACAGGAATCTCATTTGAGATGTCATTAACAATATCATTATTTCAGAAACCATCCTACCATTGACATCTGCGGGACGGATGTTATGTAAATCAGTTAAAGATGTTCCATCTCTTAAGCCATAAGAACGAGGCCATAAATGTTCTCCTGTGACAAAGAGAATGGTCATTGCAGCTAGATAGCTTAATGGAAATTTTTGAAATTTATCTGCAAGAATAGAATAAAACAAGTGAAAATATGAGAAGCACATGAGTCTCATGCATTAAGATATGGGACCAATTACTTTCTTCCAAGATGCTCTAAGACTTGCCTGTTCTACTATCCCTAATTGGAGTCCTAATACTTAGTAGAAGTAGGCAACAAGCAAACTTTTGACATGTTAAAAAAAAATCTAATGAACCATTACGATGAGACAAAATTGACACTCTTATTAGTGGGAACAAGAAATGTAAAGAAAATAAAATATGAGTTTCTTTGAAGCAATAATATGAAAATAAGTAATACACTTTAATTTCGTTAGTGATATTGTCTTTAGAACTTCACTTCTAAAATGAATTGTCTTTAATAGAGCATCTAGAAATATGGGAACTATCACATTGTTGCAGCTATTAGACATTGTTTTACTGTGTATGACATTACACAAATTAATTATTGATAAAAATAAGCATGTTGCTTTCGTTTTCCAGAGGGGATACTGGATTAGTCAAGCCAGCAGTGTATCATCATTCAATTATCATGACTATTATGGTGTCCTCAAGTCAATAATAATAAGAAGCAGTGCAATTCATTCCACACAATATTTGCACCATTCAATGCTTATGTTTTAAGGTGATGGCAGGAATGAAGTATTAGCTGACTAAAGATTTCATTAGTGCCAAAATACTGCCACTTCATCACAGAACATGCAAGTGCAAACAGGCAATTGACAAAACCAGTTAAACACATTTATTTTCCCGCCAGTATCCTTTCTAATTTGCATATGACCCATCGGTTGGGGGAGAAAACTAATAATGATTCCTCCCTAAATTATGTCCCTGAGAAATTGAACAGAAAGCTGCATAGCAAACGGAGATCAGCTAAGCTTCCTTCAAACACAAGATGGGATTTGGATGCTCCCACTGGCAGATTCGCTCCAACCAAAGGGGCGACCGATCTAGTTCTCTCTCTCCGAGTAGGAAAGAAGCATCTTTTATGTGATTTATGAGGTGAGCACATACAATCTCTTGTGCTTGGAATCATTATAAAAGCCATAAATAAGAAAAAATTACTGATTCTGAATTGATTAGACTCACTGTTCCATCCTTCTGGCTTTCCTGCCAATGATTTTGGGACAGCTCTCAATGAGTATATCTCGATTCTGCATATAACAAACTAGGCAGGTGCCCCTTTATTAGAGAGCTAAATAGCATAAATCACAGTAGGTAGCATTTCCGACCAAAGATACACATATCCTACATTTCGGAGGAGGCTTCTGGGTTCTCCACATCAACTGCATCAAGAATCTTGAGCGCATCCCAAACCTAAGTTGAAATGTCCAACCATGACAAATTGCAAGTACTAGCTACTACCAGACAAAAACCTTCCTGCTAGAAACACAAACAAAGTACCTCTCTGTAAGTTAGTGACTGGTGGGGAGAGACAATGGAATTGAGCTTCTTCATCAATGCAACGCCTTGTAACACACTAACACCATTATAGTAACTGTCGACATCTTCGCATGGGTAGACCGACGGAATCTGTGGACGAATGGCATCGGCCACAGCGGGATGAAGAGACAGGGCACAGGAGAGCCCAATGACGCTGGAAATCAAAAGATGGCAGCAATCGTGCAACCACAACCTGAGACGCCATTAGATTCAGCTCCAATTATTCCCCTAGCAATCGCGCCAAATAATTCGAGATCTCGGTGACAAAATGAGCAGAAAGGAAGAGGATTGACATCAAGAACCTGAGAAGAGGTCTCTGCTCGAGCAGCGATGGCTTAAGAGGATTTCCGCGACGACTAGAACTTGTAATTGGGATTCCATCGGCCGAAGAGGAATGGGAATTTGGTTTGGAGGACGATGAGGACGAGGGATTCGGGGCGAAAGCTAGGGTTTTGGGAAGGAGGAAGAGGGAGTTCATGAAGGGAGTGCCAGTCGTCACCGTGCGCGAGTAGAAGACCGACGGCTTTGAGGCGTTAGGAGTATGATCACCACTGGTACGATTTCGCTCAGTCACTCTAGTTTGATTGGCCTTGAAGGACACCATCGCAGTATGCTGGCTTCGGTGCGAGGAGTCCGACAAATCCTGCCCGTTGGATGCGGAACCTGGGGCTAGATTTTCATATTTTCAGAATTGCCTTAAGTTACAGGGTAATTACATATTTCTCTCTGTATTTAACTATAATATTGAGATGCTATACTTACAAAAATAAAATATTTAATTCTAATTTCGTTAATTTTATCAAAAAAATCAATCGTAAAGATATAAATAAAAAAAGAAAATAATTTTCTTATCTTTTAAATTATTAATTTCATATAAATTTTTCGTTCGCAGCGTCGAGGCATTCGCAGAAACCGCTTGACTCCCCTCCGGCTGCGCTACGGACGGCAGACCAACGACGGCGTCGGTGGCGCACGAGGCCGGTAGCGTTCCAGAGGAGATCGTTTGCTCGCAAGAGCTCGCCCGACGGCGATGAGTGCGAGCGGCAAGCCACCACATTTCCTCACCAATATTTCCGCTTGCCGCCCGATTTCCGGGTGGGAGTCGATCATCTCCTTGCCTGCCGTCTCCGTGAACAGCTTCCAGGCCGCATCCCATGGCAAGGCTTCTACCTTGATCTTCTTCTTCACGCCCATCTGGTCACAGAGATCTTCGTTTCGCGTCCCGATACGACCACAAGCAATGGAAGACCATGGACAGGAAGCCTTCGTGCTTGGTGATGGGGTTCCCGTACTGCTCGTAGATGCTGGACTTGTTCTGCACAGCTTTGGCCAGCATGCACAGGAAGGACTGCCACTGGTTTCTGCCGATGGAATCCCCTGCAAGTATGATCTTGTCGTTCCTCTCCTCTCCAGTATCTTAGATGCATTGAATCTTCCGGAAGAACAATACAAGCTCATTAGGGAATCAAGTAAGAGAACAGAATCTACGAAAACGATTACACCCTGTAGATGTCAATTGAACCTCTTTCGATCAATCTCTCCACAACACTAAGGAAGATTTGACCACATAACAAGCTTTTCCTTTCTTTGATCTAAGCAATCTTAATCGATCATATTGTGAATCTTGATTGCAGGTATTCTGGCAAATCCAGAAATTCCATGAGATCGCAACGCAAGGAATCAACAGGGGCGGCGGGCGATCAGGTTGGAAAAAGGAGAGGAGAAGGTAATCGGTCACGGTCGGAGGCGGCGCCCGGATCTCCTTGGAGCGCCACCGCTGGTCTGCCGTCCGCAGCGCAGCCGGAGGGGAGGAAGGCGGTTTCTGTAAAAGCCTCCATTAAAAGGTAATAAAATTCTTATTTTATCTTTTTTTATTAGCGTCGTCTTGCACGTGATTTTATCCCAACCATGTGTCTAATAGAAATCGATAAGGCACAGTTGTAAATAAAAAGAAGGCACTGAGATAATTTCGTAAATAAGATGCTCCCCAATTGCTATACGACGCCGTGCCTCCTAGGGTTTGGCAAACGCAGGATTTAGCCGCCCGTGTCTCTCGCTCGGTCTCTCGTGTTTTGATCCGTCGCTTCTGCTATGTTTTCCCGCTCGATCTGCTTTATAACAGGGAGGGCGATGAAGAAGACGATATCAATCAAAGGTTCGCTCGTCGTAAAGGCCTCTGCCTTGCCGACACAGCTTTCTACTCCGAGCCCCCCTTCCCCCTTGTAATTTCCTGATCATGTTTACCTAAAAATCGGTTTTTTTCCTTTTCCGTCGGGTTTCTTGGTCGGGGAAGACGCTGTGCTGCGATGAACGAAGCATTACTTCGATCGACGGCATTGTTCCGTGAGATGGGAATTTGTTCCTGAGCGGTTACCTGAGCAGCAAGCGGAACCCTAAAAAGAAAAGACTTGTGTTTCTTTGTTCACTGCGCTGATGTGCAGTAACATTTTATTATTGTTTTCTCGACATGTTTTCTACTTGAAAAAAAAAAAAGACTTATTTTTTGAATAAATGGTTTGATAATATTATGAAGTAGGTTTCATGATAATTTTATGCTCCAGTTAAAGAATACGAAAAATCACTTTTGTTGTTGTTAGAAATCAAGAAATAGCTGATTGAGTCTGATTAAAAGGGCGAGTTTGTGGGTTTTGATATACTCGACCAAATGTTTTATTTTCTTGGATCATTGGTTCCTAGTAAAAGGTCGGAATTTATTTTATTTTTTTTATCCTGTTCAAAATTTGTAATTTTTTTTCTTGTATTTGTAGGTAATGGATTCATTCTCTATCGGATTTTGGGGGTGACTTTACCAAACCAACAAGATGAAGATGAGACGGATGAATTAAGAACAGAAAGGATAAACTGATAGATGTCTAAAAGGTTAAAAGAGACACGGATCAATTGTTAGACTTGGAGATCTGAGATCTGAGCTCTGAAGCTACACATCTCTTAAATTGATCATAAGCCATGTAATTTAGAACCTCTGAGATGTTAGAAACATTAAATTATGACATCTTTAATCTAAGGTTATTCATGTTAGGATCGAGTCGGCACTAAAAGGGGAGGTAAATTAGTGTAGCGGATAAAAACGTCGGTTTTAGAAACTTCGTACGATGAAAAATCGATCTCGGTAGATAGCTTGAAAGCATGTTTGTTCGTAAAGATAGTGAAAGCCAAGAAAGGAGGAAGTGAAGCGATTGCAAAGTAAGTAAATGATAATAATAGAAATATAAATTAGAATTTATAGTGGTTCGATCGTTGTGATCTACATCCACTTCTTATTCCTCCTTCGTCGAGGTCATCGATGTCCACTAATGGTCCTCCTTCAATAGGCGAAGACCACTAATGGTCCTCCTTCGATGTTTAGGAGATAATAACTCTTACAAGTCTCACACCTCTCTTGAATGATCACAATACTAGAAAGGGAGGAGCAAGAGGACTCTTTGCACTTTTTACAATACTTCTAACACCCCAAGAATTTAAGATTTTGTTCACATTTTTATGTCCTTCCATGCATAAAATGATGGGGTATTTATAGGCTCTAATGACTTTAGAATTGGAGTCAAAAAGTATCTCATCCCAAATTTTCGGGGTACTGGTAGTACCACCGCCATTGCTAGGCGATACCACCGCTTTACACTCTGACACTAGGCGGTACCATCGCCTGACAGAGCTCTCGAAGATTGAGCTCTGACGGTACCATCGCTTGACAACATTAACTGTCGGCGCTACCACCGCCCAGACCACTTGGGAGATTGGGTTTGCAAGCGGTGCCATCGTCGGTCGTGACTTCAAGTGCTGATTGGGCTGTTCAACCGACCCAGTTCACTCCTATAAAGGACCCAATTGACTCCTAACCGAGTTAATGGGATTACCTCTCAATCCTAACTCAACTTAAGATCTAACTACAATAATTAAGACTTTTAAACAAGCAATCTTGGTCCGGTTATATCAATTATTCTTTTGGCAAGCTTCCGATGATCTTTCGATAATCTCTCGGTAATGTTCCAATGGACTCCCAGCAAGCTTCTAGACTTTACAACGATCTTCTTGGCGAGTTCCAACGAGCTTCTTTGGCAAGCTCTTAGACTTCTCAGTCAGCTTTGGCAGAACTTTCGACGAACGTCCGGACTTCCGACGAACTCTCGAACTCCCAACGAAATCTCGATCTTGACTCCGCCACCACATTTGCTTTGTGTCTTACTGCTATTGTAGTTAATCCTGCACACTTTTCTCAACATATAGATTAGATCAAATAATTTACTAATTGATTTCATCTTCAAAATCTGAGATTTAACAATCTCCTCTTTTTTTATGATGATAATCAATTGATGACGGAGTTAACCTTAAATCCCCCTATCTATATGTCATTACTTGAGAAAAGATACTCTTGAATTCAAGACCTTTGAATTCAAGCATATAAGTTATATTCATTTAAATTTATTAACATATACATCATGATACTTATCATGATTTACCAATACGATATCACGTATTTATCAAAAAATAATGTTAAGGCATGACATTCATTTTCAAGTTAATGATGATAGACAATCATCATTTTCAAATATGATACAAATTTCGAATATGAAATTTAGCAAGATGACAATTCTTGATAAAAGATAACAATTCATCAATACATGGTAAGATATCGATTGTAAATAGTAATTTGAGTTTATCATAATGAAAGACATTTATCAAGCATTCATCAAACATTTCATGTATCTATAATACATATGAAATACGTTTTGATATGTTTCAAGCATTTGTGATAAGATACATTTTATACATTTGTCATTTGTCATAAACATTCAATTTGTCATCAATTTATCATATTTCTCCCCTTTTGTTATCAACAAAAAGGAAAACAATTCAACAATGCAAGTGTGGTAAAAGTTCAACTAAGTTTCTTACTAATTTATCCAAATCATAAAGGAAGGTTACAAAAAAAACTTTGCATGATAACTTTTTGGATAAGCTAACATTCAAAAGTTCACAATATTAAGAAGAATCCGACGATGCATCGTTGCATGGTAACATTCAAAAGTTCTCAACATCAAAAGTTATCAAGGTGAACATAATATCAAAAGTTTTTGAAGTTCTACTTTTGTAAGAGGAGAAAATTTATATGGAAAAATTCATATGGCTCATTAAACATACCATAAATCCATAATTCAAATCTTATCTAAGAAAAAATAATAGTGAATGATCTCGAAAAAAAGAGAACTTACTTAAGAAAATTCAAAGAAAAAATTTAAAGAGGAACTCATGTATCAGAAAAATAAATTTAACATGCCTAATTCTCTTCTTATAAAATCAAATTGTTCCTCAATCAAGGGTTTTGTAAAATATCAGCTAATTCATGTTTTGTATCAATAAATTCTAGAGATGTGTCATGATTATTAACATGATATCATATAAAGTGATGCATAATATCAATATGTTTAGTTCTAGAGTAATGAATATGATTTTTTATTAAGCATATTGCACTAGTATTATCACACTTTATAGGTATGTTTTTTAGGTGTATTACATAATCCTCTAAAGTATTTTTCATCTATATAACTTGAGCACAATATGCACCTACTGCTATATACTCAGCTTTGGTTGTAGATAATGCAACCGAGTTTTGTTTATTGGAAGGCCAAGAGATAAGTGTGTGTCCTAAAAATTGACATGTTTCGAATGTACTTTTTATATCTATTTGGCAGCCAACAAAATCGGCATCAGCATAACCAAGCAATTCAAAGTTTTTAGATTTTGGATACTATAATCCTAGTTTAGAAGTTCCTTTTAGGTATCTAAAAATCCTTTTAACAACTTTTAAGTGAGATTGATTGGGGTTTGATTGAAACTTAGCATAAAGTCCTACGCTAAACATGATATCCGGTCTAATTGCAGTGAGGTACAGTAGACTACCTATCATACCCCTATAAGCTTTTTGCAGTGAGGTACAGTAGGTCTAATTATCAAAGCTTTCTCCATTTTCGTCAATATCTGACTTAGTGGAGGTACTCATAGGAGTATTGATTGCGTTTGAACTATCTATATTAAACCGTTTTAGCAAGTCTAATACATATTTTGTTTGACTAAGAAAAATATCATCACTAAATTGTTCGATTTGTAAGCCAAAAAAGAAAGTTAGTTCCCCAATTAAACTCATTTCAAACTCTAAGCTCATACTCTTAACAAACGATTCGCATACAGATTCATTTATAGAACCAAAAATAATATCATCAATATAAATTTGAACAATAAGAAAATTATTTTAAATTTTTTTAATAAATAATGTAGTATTGACCTTATCTTTAGATAAATTATTTTTGATAAGAAAAGAGCTAAGTCTCTCATACCAAGGGGCATGTTTCAATCCATAGAGAGCTTTAGCCAATTTAAACACATGATTAGAAAAATTATCATTCTCAAACCTGGGAGATTGTTCAACATAAACTTCTTCGGAAATAAAGCCATTAAGAAAAGTACTTTTAACATCCATTTGGAATAACTTAAAATTATTACAACTAGCATAGGCAAGGAGCATCCTTATGACTTCTAATCGTACCACAAGAGCAAAGATTTCTTCATAATCGATACATTCTTCTTAGTTGAAACCTTTGGCCACTAATCTAGCCTTGTTTTTAACCATGATACCAAATTCATCTTGCTTGTTTCTAAAGACTCATTTAGTACCAATAACTAAATGGTCATTTGGTCTCGGAACAAGCTTCCACACCTCATTTCTCTCAAATTGGTTCAACTCTTCTTGCATTGTGATAACCCATGAATCATCTTTCAAGGCCTCATTAATGTATTTAGGTTTAAGTTGAGAAAGAAAAACGGCGTTGGCACAAAAATTTTTAAGAGAAGAACAAGTTTGAACTCCCTTTGATGTTTCTCCTATAATTAGCTCATTAGGATGAGCATCTACATACTTATATTCCTTGGGTAAAATGTTTCAAAAAAAGATACATCCAAGTTGCTAGTTGAAAGAGATGGTTCATTTAAATTAAATTAAGATCATCATCAAACTCTTTTTTTTTAATTTAGAAACTTTATTAAAGATAATATGAATAGACTCTTCTATAACCAAAGTTCTTTTTGTTAAAGATACGAAAGACTTTAGAAATAGAAGAATAGCCAAGAAAAATCCCTTCATTGGATTTTGCATCAAACTTTCTTAAAGCATCTTTTTCATTCAAGATAAAACATTTACAACTGAAAACTTTAAAATATGAAACGTTGGGTTTTTTGTTACTTCACAATTCATAAGAAGTTCTGAAAAGTAATGATCTTACTAGAACCCTATTTGATGCGGGGGGCATCTATTTAAGTCGTGGCCTCGGGGCCGTCGCGGCTTGGTTCGGGGGTCCGGATGTCGGGGATCTCGGGCTCCGTCCCTCGGGGTCTCCCGAAGGCCGAGCACGGTGGTTCGGGTCGGGAGGTCGGGTCGGCAGGTCGGGTCGGGAGAAAGCTCTGCCGCAGCGCCGGGAAGAGTGGTTCAGGTCGGGAGGTCAGGTCGGCGGGTC